TTAAGGGTCACACACTGATAAAGCCTCGTGCAGTACACAAGGTGGTTGAGGCAGGGTCTCAGGGAGTCACTAGACTGGTAAGAGTTGTGGTCACTAAGTTAATGTAGACTCTGGTTTTGTGCCAGTGCTGAGTCTGGATCTACTCAGCAAAAGTCTCAGAGCACCAAGTTTAGCTGCTGCTGGCCTGGGTCCTGCAGATTCTGACAGTTTTTTTTTAAGAAACAATGCAATGCTGACAGTACTAGCTGCTCTTGGAGTAAGTACCTCCAGCATTAGGGGAATTGGGTAGGGCCATTTCCAGGTGAGTCAGCAGGGTGGAGCAGCAGAGCTTATCAGACCAATTAGATTCAGATTTGGCCTGTGGGGATGGACTCAACACAGGAAACATGGCAACCACCTGCTGGCTCCTTTAAAGTTCAGCTGTTGCTAGAGCCTAATGCAGTATGAAAGTTGGGTGAGGCAAGGTCTTAGGAAGTCACTAGTGTGGGAAGAGTTGTGATTACCAGATTAATGTAAATTCTGGTTGATGCCAGTGCTGAGCCTAGAATGACTCTGCAAAAGTCTCAGAGCACACTAAGGCTAGTCGCAGTCTGCCTAGGGCCTGCTGGACTCTGATAGTTTTCCAAGAAAGAGTGCAGTGTGTGTGGGGCTGGCTGCTCAAGAAGAAAGTACCTCTGGCATTGGGGGAGTTGGGTGAGACAGGGTCTCAATGATTCAGCAAAATGGAGTGAGCAGAGCTCAACAGACCAATCAGATTCAGATTTGGCCCGTGGGGGTGGACTCAACACAGGAAACATGGCAACCACCTGCTGGCTGCTTGGGAGATGGACCCCACACAGGGAAAATGGTGACTGTCCTCCAGTCCTCACTTTGAAGCCACACATTTCATTCTGCCTCCTGTATGCCTCCAACGCCCCCTGAGTTACTGTCCCTTTGCTGAAGCCCAAGGTGAGTGTCTGCAAGTGTGAGAGTCTGTGCACCAGCCATTTAAGAGGATGCCTAGGTTTCCCATTTCCTTCCCTCCAACCCTAATGGTCAGAATCGCCAGTGTTTTTCACAGCCAGATGTTGTGGGGACTTCTCTTCCTGGCACAAGTGCTCTGGGCAGGGGAGTCCGGTATGGGGCTAAAATCTCTCGCTCCTCTGGGGGGAACCTCTGTGGCTGAGATATCCCTCCTTGTTCTCAACCGCCACACTCAGGTTTGGGGCCAGCCATTTTTGTGTCTCCACCACTCCTAACAGTATCGATATGGTTTCTTCTTTATAGCCTTAGTTATAAAGCTTCTGTTCAGCCGACTTCAGGTGGTTCTCCAGGTTGATTTTTCTATAATATAGTTGTAATTTTAATGTGTTCACAGAAGGAAGCAGGTACAGTGTTTATTTACTCTGCCATCTTGGATTTCTTCTTCTTAAGATCAGAAATATGTATTTTTAAATATAAAACATAATGCGTTCCTTTTATTTCACCCAGTTCAAATTCAGGATCACAATTTTTATGTAACTCATTGATTTTATATCTGTTTCATTTTTTTGTCCCCTACCAAAAATTAATTTCCAAATACACCAACTTAATTATTCATTTGCTTTTTCTCAGACAATGCATACAACATTACAACAGCACCAATTAATAGCAAAAAATATTGGTTAGTGATAATTTAAGTTCCTGCTCCTGCTTTAAATTTATTTTTCTTAGTTTATATCCTATGAGGGATATACTATTAAATTACTCTGTTTGTGTGTGCTTTTTAAAAATTACCATGTTTGATCACTTGAAATATTTTTCTCTGTATTGTTATGCCACTGATTCCATATACAATTAAGTTCGTTTATTTTATTTCGCTTTTTATATTAAATTTGTTTTATAATTATGTAAATGATTTTATGTGGTTCCAAAATCATATCTACAAAACAAGTCTTATGAGAACTCTTCCTACTATTCTATCTTTACTACCCTGTTCCCTTCCTCCATATAACCATTTATTTTTAAAGTTTTTACTTTTCCTTTTATTTAAAAAATTAGGCAAATATATAGATGAATGATAGCACAGTATTCATATTATTCTTCACTTTGCTTTTTTTACTTAACAATATATGCTAGGCTTGACTGTGAAATACTTTATACAACATACATTCTTCATTCCTTTTTAAAAATTGTATAGTACACCACTGTGTACATGCACTATAATTAATTCAACCATTTCCCTTTAAAGGACAATTGTATTATTTCCAGACTTTTGCTATAAGGAATAATGCTTCAGTGAATAATTTCTTATATACCTATTTTATATATTTTTAAATGTTGTTCAGATTCTTGGAAGTGGGATTTTCTAGTTGAAAAATAAATGCATATGTAACTTTGCTAGATGCTGTCAAATTCTCTCTTGTTGGGGTTTTTCCATTTTTCACTCCAACAAGCAATATTTGAGAGTGCCACTTTCCCTCACAAGTACCTCACTAGCAGGCTGTGTTGTGAAACTTTTGGATTTCTGCCAATTTGTTGTGTGAGAAATACTATCTCAGTGGTTCTTAATTTGCAAGATTGAGAATGTTTCTATTTAAAAGTATTTGCATTTCTTTTTCTGTAAAATATCTGTTCATATCTCTTGCCATTTTTCTATCAGGGTGTTGGTCTTTTATTCATTTTTAGATACTCTTTATATATAGGGTTATTAAATTGTCTCATATAAGTTGCACATTTGTTTTTCAGTTTCTTATTTGTCTTTATACTTTGCTTGTGGTATGTTTTATATTATTTTTGCCATACAAAAAGCCTTTTATTTTTACATATTGAGATTTACCAGTATTTCACTTTATTGTATCTAGTTTTGACCATTGTTAGAAATACTTTCCCTACTCTCCAATTATAGAGGCATTGACCTATATTTTTTCCTAGTTCATGTGTAATTCAAATTTTTATATTTATATATCTGATCTTTTTGAAATTTATTTTTGGAACAGTTCCAAATTCATCTTTTCCCTTATGCCTACCCAATTATCCCAACAATACTTATTAAAAAGTCCATCCCTTCCTCACTACTTAGAAATAGAGCTTTTATCTATATTAAACTTTCATATGCACTTTGGCCGATTTCTCAATTTTCTGTTGTGTTCTGTTGATCTTTCTTTCACATGCCAATACCAAGTGTTAAATTATAAATGCTTTATAACATATTTTAATATCTGATATGACACCCACCCACCACTCCCAATGCTCTTCTTTTACAGTGTTTTCTGGCCTTTTCTCTCTCTCTCTTTTTTTTTTAATTTATAATCAGCTTGTACTTATAACAGTGTTCTTAATCAGGAGTGTTTATCAGATGCATTGTCAGAGTTTTTTAAAAAAGAACTGGGTCCCCACCCCAGACCTAGTGAATCTCTGAATATTGGACCTCAGTATGTACATTTTCAAAAAGCTGTCCAGTTGATGCTGATAATTCCATTAAAAGTGACCTATAAAGTATACTGTCAAGCTCTAGTTCCAGACCACCTTATGTTTTGTTTTCTCTCATGTATTTTGGACCTTACTTAATGACTCCAGCATTTACCCAGTTCCCTATGACAGAAATTTCTGTAGTCTCACTTCAGTTTTTCCTTTCCTTTTACTCTGTTTTCAGTTGGTCACTAAATCCACATTTTACCTCAAAAATATCTATTGTTGCTGTAAAAAATCTCCATTGCACAGTTCTTTTACCATCTTTCTCACGGACTGTTAAGCAATCTTTTCATCCTACAGTCTATCATCTGCACTGCCTACACAGTTATTGTTCCCTAAAAACAAGGCTGATCATGTCACTCCTTTGCTGACTTTTGTTGTCTCTCAGGATAAATTCAACCACTTTACCATCATGGTACATCAGGCCTTTCACTCTCACGTCCCAGCCTCCTTCATCCATTATTCCACACCTCATATTGGATATTCCTGTTATACTGAATTTCTCACTAGTGCATGGACACCAGCACTAGTAGTCCTTTGTATTTAAACTTATGGCTTCTTTCACTTGGCATCCACGCCTTCCTCCCTTTGCCTGGTAAGCTGTCAGTATTTGAGATGCAGTTCAAATGGCATCTCTTTGATAAAGCTTTTTTTTAGACTTCCAGTCAGAATTAGTAGCCCCATCCTCTTTATTCTAGCAAAACTTTATTATTTGTATCTTTATAATGTGATTTATGTGAGTCTCTAATCTCCCTGGAATTTCATACTTTCAACATCAACCAGAATGTGAGCTTTTCATGTTTTTCCAGCCTCTAGCAGAGTGCATAGCATATAGCAAGCCCTCAAATGTTTGTTCAATGAATGAAAAGCTTCATTAGTCTGTACCGATGAAACAGAAACAAGACATGACAGTGGGCAGCTTGTTCTACTATTTAGATATCTCGTTCTTTGGGCTTTTTGTCGTCTGCCTTCCTAGACTTTGTTCTCTGTATATGGCAATTCCTTACTCTTTGAAGATCCATGTACAATACCTATAGTAGTAAATCAGATATCTGTCCATCTTTACCTCTCTACCTATTTATGAAGTTCTGTCTTGGTCCTAAAAATAGATGCTGCTTTAAAGAAGAAAGTGCAACAATTGAGTCTATGGTGGTGGGATAGGCATATATCATATATAGACGTTCAGAAATAATTATCAGTAATATTGGAAAAGATCTGTTTGATGATTTAATTCTTTTACAATTCTGTACATGATGAAGTACTAATTTGGATAATGATCTTAGGTAAAACACTAAGTACTATGAGAGCTAGATTGTTTTATAACTATAGTAATTCTTTTCTTTTCCCCTCACCCCCAACTCTATGTTGTAATCTCTGAGACAATCAAATGTGAGAACATGAAAAAAGGGAAGGAATCATATTAAAAAATATGAAGCACAACTTTTTAGTAAGAGGGTATCAAATACTGGAGTAATCCAGTTTTAAATTCCTAGTGTAGCATACTTTTAAAAATCAGTTTTTAAAGTATAGATTAAATTGGAAAATTAATATATTTGAATTACCAAGTAACACCAAATTATTTGTTATATTTTAATATAAAAATTGAAGCTTTATTTTTATTGAAATATAAGAACTCATGAATTTTAGATATCTGAGTTTTTTATTTATCAATTATTTTATTGATTTCCATTTAACTGCATTTCATCTTTGAGAATGTTGCAAAACTATTTCCCAAACTATGTACAGAGCTTGGCCTCTGAGTTAATTAAATATAAGTTAATAATATATTAAAGGAAATTATTGTCCTTATTACAGTTATTAGGTAGTTACTCAAATTATAGCTTCAAAGGAATGCAGAGCATGGAAAACTCAGGATTAAATTATGCATTTGAACCTTAGGCCAGCTTTTACTGTACAGACAGTTTTCTGCTAAGAGAGAAATTGTATGTCATTGAAATTAAATGCTTTTCTGGGGATGGAAGGTTCCAGTTTTTAATGAAATTACCGAGTGTGGTGTAGTGAAATGATTAAAATCTGTATTCCGGGAATGTGGCAGGGAAAAAAAATCAATAAGTGCTAGCACAGCTTTGCTGCTCAATGTGAATCCTGAGAATGAAATAAACTACTACAAAAATAATAATTAAAAACATATCAGCACATTAATTTATTTAGCATCAGTCTCCTGAGACATCATCTTCACTAATTTTTAGCATACATTTTACTATGTAATGAGCAGCCTTCTTTTCAGATACCCCTATTAGACAGGCAGTATTTCCGCCCTTCCCCCAGTGCTCCTCCTGCATTGCAATCATTGTACTTGCACTTATTATGTTACAAATGACCGAGGTAAGGCTGACATTCTCAGTGCATGCAAAAAGACCTAGTCTGCCAAGCTTTCTTTTTTTTTTTTCCTAATGAAGCAGCTTTGTGAAATCTCCCCATGTGTTAATACTAATGAAGATCCTCCAGCACAATTAAAATCACAGCCAGTGGCTGAAGAGGAAACATAAAACAATAGCGTCTTTTAAGATACATTTATCCGCATTTATATGTACAAAATATACATATATGGTCAAGTTAGTTTTCCTACAGCTTGCCTTTCCTTTGCTTTTCCTGAAAGTGAAATTATGTAATTTTTAATTACCTGAACTTTGAGACTTTAATGTTTTGCGTGATGGTGGGGGGGGATACTAACTACCTCAAATAAAAAAAATTTTTAAATATGCATCTTCTTGGGTAATAAAGCGTTTGCCAACGTAAAGACTTTTTTTTAAGAAATAATTTTTAGGAAGCTATAGGGTGTGTGCGGGCAGAGGTAATATTGTTTGTGTACTTTAGTTTAACTTTACTGGTTTTGGGATGTTGGAATTGGGGGGGAAATTTAGAGTAAAATGACCAAGTTCGAAGAGGTTCTGGGGGGTAGACAAACAGCATACTTCGTGTGTAATTTAAAGATGAAACAACGGGTTACCAGTCTTGATGTTTTAAAAAATGTTCAGGTCCTGCAATTAGCTATCCCCTGCCCCCTTTTTTTAACCTCTCAGAAACTGGGAGGGGGGGAGACGACTACTGAGGCTACCTTTTAAGTTTTAATTTATAACTTTAAAACTGTTTACTATTTTAATGTGTTTTATTTAAATTTTAACTCAGTGCATAAACATTACAGCCTGCTTAACTTGCCCGTGTTAGGGCAGTAGCGTTTAATCCCGGGACCATTTTGCGTCCTGCTTTTTCTTTTATTTTGACTTCCAAACATCCACGAATTCTTGGCATATTAACTTAGTTGGCTTGTAGACTTCAACCGAATTCTGAGTTTATGGGCAAAAAAAGTTTAGGTGAAAACGGTTAATCTATGTTCCCTATGTTCATGTTTACGTTTTTGAAAAATTACGTTTTCGATCCTATTTTCGGTCCTCTCCACTTTTAAAAGCCAAACAAAACATTTAAGTTTCTTAACTTTTTCCTGGGACAAGGAAGAGTGCAAGCTCAAAACTACAGTATTCTTGGGAGGAAGAAGCAACCCCCTCCCTCCTTTGGTTCCTTTAGGAGCTGATAGGTCATTTATTATTGGAACTGAAATGGTATAAACAATTCTCTCTCTTTTTTCCCTTGTTAACAGCAACTTTCATTGTTAGAGAGAGGAGAGAGAGAAGCCTTGTTGGTTGACGTCACTTGGTTCATGAAGCCTTCGCCTAGAAGTGAAGCTGCTGAACAAACCTTGAGAAGAATCATCTCCTGCTTCAATCTGCTGCTGGATAGGAACTAATCAGAGAGAGAGAGGCGGAAGGCGGAGAAGGAGCCAGTCAAGGGCTTTCCCGATCACAGGTCGCACCTACACTCCAACTCTGTACTTTTCTGGCAAAAAGAATAGGAATAAGGAGGTGTTGGAGATTCCGAAAACAAAAATCGTAACCTTCGACCATCTGGGGAAGGCAAAAATCCCATCCACCGCAACTCTCAGTTGGAAAGTAAAGGTGAGTTACAAAATCCTCGGGGGTGCGGGGTGCGGGTTGAAGGTGAAAATTCCTAATGCTTTAAAGCCGGTTGAAACTGAAAAGGAGGAACTACGCTCCTAAGAGCGAGCGAGCGGGGAAGACTCCGGAGTTGCTCTCTCTCACGGCGCCCGCCCTGCCCGCCCTGCTGGCCCTGCCGCGGCTGTTTACCCTCGCCGGTCGGTGTGTCTCTTTGTTGTGCTGGCTGCGAGGCTGGGGTGGTGCTGGGGTCCCAAGTGGAGTTTGGGGGAGCAGGACGCGGAGATGCGCGGTCCTGGGTGGGAGGTGGGGGGTGCGGTCTCAGGAGAACGTAAACTTTATTCCTAGCTGCCGGTGCGGGACTTCGGTCCAGCAGGGCCGCGGGCGGGCCGTGCCTCGGGCGCGGGCAGACGCTACCGCCGCGGGTCCGCCGCCTTTGTGCCGGCCGCCCTGCGCGGATGCCCGGCTCCGCGTCTCCTGCTTCCTGGCTCCGGCTTCCTGCGCTCAGGTCGCTGCCAACAGTTTTGCTTCTTAAAAAAAAAAAAAAAAATCTCTGGCATTGTTGAGATCGCTCTTCCTACCGGGGCAGTTGCAAGATTGCCCCCCCCCCCTCGCCCCACCAGTCCGCCTACTGCTGCCCCTTTTTTGCCTCCGCCCCCTCTTTCCTCCGGGACTGATTAGCTGTGCCGGCCACCCCCCTCCCCCCCAATTCGGGCCTCTTTTGCTCTTTCCCTGCATAGCTTGGAGCTCTAGAGTTTACTGAAAATGAGCTGGGGGCGGGGGGGACGGGGAAGAACACCTGGGAAAGATGTCTACGTCCGTGTACGGAGGGTTGGAGGAGCGTAGCTGTTCCTACTGTAATGTCTGTCTCCCTGCAGTTCTTCCCGGGGAGCCACCGCCAGCTCGCAACTCTTCTTCGCTCTTTCCATCCTCCCGTCGCGCCTCCTCCCCCTTTGCCCTTTCGCAGCTCCCCTCCCCTTAAAGTAGTTCCACGAACCCCAGAATTGAGACTTGGGAAAGGAAGGAAGTGTTTGGAGAGTCGGAGCTGGCCCTGCCGTTGGGGAGATTTTTCTCTTCTTTTCTGGGCCTCTGTATTTATCTTTTGTGTGTTGCTTCCTTATAAAGGGAGAAGCAGCTGCAGTCCTTGGCCGAGTTGTTGAAATTTATCCCTTTGTGTATATTACAATATCCTCCATTTTTTCCTTCTGCCCTCTAAACAACAAGCGTTTCGCCATCTTGGGCAATTTTTATTCCCAAGTCTCTCTCTCTCTTTTTTTAATGTTTGAGGAAGGGAAAGAAGCCTTAGAAAGGCAAAAAGTATGTCTGGATAAGACTCAAAGTTTAGGGAATGTTCAGGGGGCCCAGTGACGTCATGTAAACTTTATCGAGAAATTGTCCCAAGAGTAAATTTTCCGCTGAATTTTTTCCCCGTTTTAAAGGACCGTGTAAATTACTGGTTAACGATAAGTTGTGCGGTTTATTTTTGTGTTCTGCTCTCAGAATGAACCCTTAACATCTACACATTTTATGTTTCGGTAACAGGTGGAAAATTATGTGCAAAAAATGGTATAAACTTTTATAGTGTCCTTTGGTATTCACAGCTTTTGTCTACGTGTTTTTTTTATTCTTGAAAGGTATCAAATGTTATTTTTAGTCAGCGTATTCCCTTTCTTATTCACTCTCTGCTGTGGATTTTTCTTTGATCTGCTTGGTTGATATTTACATATATTCATTTTAGATAATCTAGATCCCTTCTTGTAATTAAATGTTCTTTATACATATTTGTTTACATTTTGAAAATATGTAACTATTGAAAATACTTGGAGATACAGGATACTTTTAAAATTTAGTAGCAGATATTAAGTCAGATGACTGGTAAAAATGTGGTTAGTATTTAAAAGGCAGAATTGATTTAAAAATATATTTTATAACCTCAAGCTATAAGCTCTGCCAGCCATTATGAAAAGATAAACAATAAAAACTAGAGTTTAAATTTGCTTGTCTAAAATAGTTTTTCACATCACAAAAGTTCAGTTGGTCACATGATCAAACTTAATGATACACTGACTGGTATATAAATAAGAGGCACTGTAAATTGAATGGGAAAGTGGAATTCTGTCTCCTATAGTCATTTGCAGTCAGCATATTTACTTCTCTTCTAACAAGGACATGAAACTGTCTGTATTTAATTTGCATTCTCTTTGTCTTCTGGGTTGGGGAAAAACATTGACTACAATTAACTAAAAAAAAAAAAAAAGCTAATAGAAACAATTCTGAATACACTGAAAAGGTTGGCCTAACACATAAAACTTATGTTGTATGTGCTATGTTTTTATCTCTGTAGCAGTCTTTGGTGTTATCTGCTATGCTATTTATCTAGGAATTTGCTTTATGTAAAATGCTATATAGAAAGCTTGACTGAATTGAATGTCTGCCATTTATGTGAATTGTAGGTAGGTGAAAAATGTTTAAATAGTTAAAATCACATAGAACAGATGGTTCTAAATTATACATGCAACAAAGGACTAGAAGATTTGGCAGATTATAAATAGCAAGCAACAGAGGATAAGCAGTTTAAGAAAATGGTAGTTAAGTACATTTGATGTCTCACACCTATTGTAAACACTGTACATTGTCACTGTGCTGCATAATCAATAATTTGGATAACATTTCAGATAGAAAAAAGTAAGATTTTACAAATGTTTGAAATTAATGGTTGAATGTAAAATTATTTTAAGCCTATGATGATAAGCTTTTTTTTTTTAGGAAACTAAATTGTATGCTTTAAAACTAGGAAGTTATTTACGAGAACTTAATACTGTTGTATTCATATAATGGTTTGTAGAGAAGTAGGAGTAGGTACACATTTTAAAATCCAGAGAATAGTACCTTTACTGTTCTCATATGTTAAACTAGTGCTGAAGTATAGCAGCCTTTACATAAAGCTTTCAAACACTACAGAAAAATATTTTTAGACTATTCAGCCTTGGAAATGTGTTTATTAGAATACTGTTGACATAAATTACTAAATAGTTATTAAATAAAGGAAGGATATATTTTAGTATTTTTGAATTTTGTGCATAACATGATTTTACTTGGTCAATGTAGTTTGATCTCAATTTAAAAAATGTAAACATCCTTATGTAGTTTTTGCCTTTTAGAAGAATCTGAGTAATTATATTTATCATTTTCAAAAGATTTAGAATAACTTAAAGTATTCAACTTGGCAGAAATTTGTTTTTATTTTTATAAGCCATTTATTTAAAATGCATATAAGTCTGTAATGGAAACCTTGGAATTTTAATTCTGTTGCCCTTTCTCCTATTTCTTTGTTTGCATGTTTATTATAGAACTGCAGTGTAAAGGAGCAGATGTTTTGCCAAACATCCTGATGTGTTGCTTTTTCTTATGGGAGTGCATAACTGTTCCTTCTGATGCATCAACTTGACAGCTGGTTGATTTCATGGAGCTGCTAAGAAGCCATTAGTGGTGTCATTGAATTGAAACAGAACAGTCACTCCCAGCTTGAACTGCAATTGTTAATGTCTTTGTTGCTACTTTTGTGTTACTATACAAGATGTAGGATATCACAGTTGCATGAAAGTTCATGTTTTCTGTCTTATCTCCTTGAATTAGTGAATGTATATGTTAGAACTTGATTACTTTTAGGTTTAAATATTTCTCAAAGAAAGAGATTTTAAGTGGTAGTTTCTGAGTTTTGACCTAGTCCTAGCTAAAACTACCAAAAGAAGATATGATTTATCATAAACAAAGTAATGTGGTGATTTTGACTCTTGGGTAAAATGACATCATCCAGGTTTAATGATATTTAATATAGTTGATATTCTGAGGGGTTAATTAAATTACCTACTTAGGTATTTTAAGGTTTTTGGTTATGTAAAGTTAAACATTTCATACCATAAGGTTTTAAAAATACAGTGCTTTAATAAATGTTTACCCTTTTGATTAAATACTTCTTTAAACTTTTGTTATACGAGATAATCAGAAAAGAATTATTGAGTAAATGGGCAGCTTTGCTTTTTTCTTTATAAGGAAGTAAAGATATTAAATAATTGTAGTCACTTAATTACTTTAAAAATTGAAATTATATTTTTATTGCACTAATAACTTTAATAGTTTTAACTATCGAACTGGTACTAAAATGGTGTCAGATCATTCCTTTGGTGCTTAAGTGTTTTCTTTTTCTAATTATTTGCTCCTTTTTTTTTCCCTTGGTGGGAAAGGAGATAAGAAGGAGAAAAGAATAATAATAATCTCAACAGAAAAGAAAAACACATTAAAAAAAAATTTGTGTAAAAACGTTAGGATGATGAGTATAAGGATATAATGTAGCTTGTAACTTTGTTAGATCTTTTCTAGTCTTAATATTTATTGACTTAATTTAAAAAATTTTTAAATATGCATTTAAACAATTTTTCAAAGTGCATAAAATTTACATTTCAAATAAAATAGTTTGCCTTTAAAATACTTAAAATGTGAAATTGATAATTAGAATATGTAATTTGCAGAGTAAAATCCCATTAAAAGGACTTACTATACAATATAAATAAATTTTAAACACTTATAATACACTGTTGAGTGATTCCAGAATTATGATTTCCTGAAATCAAAAGTTTATAGAGATGCTTTCCCTTTCAGTAGATCATACATTACTTAGACTAAAGCTAAGATTTATCTTCAGGTAATATACTTTCTCAACCCTTTTATGTAATAGCCACACAATTCCCTAAAAAGAAAGTCGTTACCTTAGCCTATGACACAATTTTTAAGAAATACATTTACTCATAACATATTTGTGTTAAGGCAGATATTCATATAAACTAAACTGTGTAAGCTATGGTAAATTGAGTTATAAAATGTAAACTTTTTTTTTAAAGGAATCTCAATGCTTAGCTCACATTTAGAGGTAACATAATGTTAATTGTGCAGATAAGTATCCCATAATTTAAGTAGGAATTTTTCCTCATTGGCTTTCTTAAAGG